CCAAAAAGCTTGAAGCTCTCTCCCATTGGCTAAGTAAGTTTGTGGTTTAGGAGCCGTTCCAGGTTGATCTTTACAAGGATGGCCCGACCCTTTTGCGGTGCTTGGGCGCCTTCGAAACTTGGTTTTCGAAGCTTTCTCCGTGCTGTTCTGGCAGCATTATGAGCATCATTTGGCCGGGTCCTGCCTTTGTGACAATAGTGTGCTGTGCAGACCACCACGTCACAAAGGTCTAAGCGGGGCTCCGGAGCAAGAGCGTGTTACAGCGACCCCAATGTGCGGGGGATGGTGATAGCTCCACCTCCTAGTCCCTAGAAGACCGGACGGGCCTGCAATGCGGCAGCAAAACTCTCGACACGGCTCTGAGAGAGCGGACTCCGCCCCATCTCGACCTGCGCGCTTTCTTCGCTTCTCAATCTAGAGTTTAGAATCTAGAGTTTAGAGAGTTTAGAGCTTACGGGGCTGATAACGGGGTTGGATTGGGTTTCAGGGCTTCCTGCCTCGTGGCGCATGGCCGCCAAGCCAACGGTCAGGTGCGATGGCGTTGCAGGCCTGGCTCAGCGTGTGTCAGAATCCCCGTGTACATCTTTGGGAAGACCTAGAAACTCTCGGAAATCCTGCTTGCCAAACACAGAAACTTCGATGAGATCCAGCACACTTAGGGCACGGCGGATCCCTGCAGCCGTGGACGTCGATGTGGAGCAAAGGCCGCAAGTGCCCCTCCTCCGTCACACAGCTCATGGACCAGCAGGCACAGAAAGAAAAGCGCCACAGCCGTCCTTAGCATGGCGCCACTTGTCCGCAAACCTGCATGGCATGCTCAGCGGCAGGATGCAGGGTGTTTACCGCGCAGCGGCTGGGGCCTCGCCATTTGGCGAAACCACGGATTCTGCGCCACCTCCTCGTTCAGCAAGTAGTTCCTGCGACGTAAAGGGGCGGGGTGCCTTCACTGCACTCGCCGCGGCTCTTGGCACTGAGTGCTGCACGGATCTCGATTGCAAGGCTCCAGGAAGCTGCTGAAATCCTCGGCCTGCCATCAGAATAGCTCCGTCCACATAGCAGTTCTCAAGCTCACCGCATCTCAAGGCCTCGCACCGAAGGCGGGCCAGGCACCACTGCAGCTCGGACCTCTGACTCCGAGTGCAAAGCAGAGATTTGAAGCCATTTGACCTCGTGCCTCTTTTGCTCGGCCCTGCTCCAGGACAAGGACGTCCCACCTTTTCGAGTGAAAGCAGAGACCAAGGCGTCCGCTGATGGTCCGAGAATGCCCGAGGCCCTGGCCGAGATGTCTCGCCATCCGCTGGGCGATCAGAGTGGTGTACTCCTCATTCCCAAGGTACCGACGCAGAAAACAACACGGAACCGTCTACAGTGTAGACAAGAGAACTCCTCCATCATGTGAGGCGGCTGGCCATCCCTCCGGAGGTAGATGTTGTGGGGAGCCTTGGGTGTTTGTTGCCCCGGCCTCACGTCGGATCCCCTCTCTTCAGGCCGCAGGCAGTGAGGAGAATCGGCTGGTTGCCCTCCACGGAAACCTCGATGCGCTGCCGCGCGCGGACCTGCGAACAGAGAAGCGCTCGAGCGCCTGAGGGCCTGCGCCTCGAGACCGACGCTGAGATGCGCCTCGAGCTGCTCGGCCAGCCAAACCATGGCCTCCGCCTGCGTCGCTGCGACATCCCGGCAGGAGCTATCAGTGCTCCGCCTGGCCTTCAAGGCCCGACACCCCCCCTCCTCGAGCATCTGGTTGAGCCGGCACCTCAACAAAAGCTCTAACACCGCTTTCCTAAGTTTCCTTTTGCTACCAGGAGGCTTCCCGGCACTCCGGTCGTTCAAGGCGGTCAGGAGGGCCTGGGAGAGATCCCAAGCAAGCTTCAATTTCGCAAAGCCGCTACACCCTCAATCCTGCCCTGCCCTCACCTGCGCTGAGCAGATCCCACATTGAACCAGCCTGTGCCGGGACGGTCTCCGTCCCTCGAGTCCCCATCTGCAAGAAGCCTCTGGTAAGCTGCATCGCGGTCGTCGCGAGACCACTTCAGCTGCATGCTGTCCTCCGAAACTCTCCAGAAGCGAACCGAAGCGCCGAAAGAGAATTTTGGCCCGGTCCGCCTCGAGCTCCTCCAGCGCCAGGGCCTGTTCGGCCAGGGCCTAGGCTTTTCTTGTGCAGCCCTTCTTGCCCCTGCTCCCCCTCCTTATACCCTCCGCAGGTTAGACCAGCGCTTCTCTCACGCGCCGAGTCTTGGGCCACGAGCTCTTCGGGCTCGCCGGGGAGCGCCTCCGGACCTGCTTTAACGAAGCCCCCCCACCCCTTAAAGGCCCCTCCGCTCCCGCCGGACGCCGAGCCACGGCCTGGGCCTGGCTGCGAGCTCGTGGAGTCTCCTCTCTGCACTCGTGAGAAGGAATTTTACTCAGTTTTTTGTCACGGCAACTCTCGTCCTCCACCAGGCGCTCGTCGCAGCATCTCGAGGATGTCCTGTTGCCGCTCTTAAAAGCAAGGCAGCCAATCAGAAGCTTTCGCCAAGTCTTCCTTTCCTTGGTAAGCTGGGTGAGCCCACCGCTCCTCCTGAGAGCGAGAACGAGGCTCTCGGAAATGCGCTTCTGCGGGAGCCCTCCCGTGATGGGTTCTTGCACTTGCCTGATCAAGGGCTCCAGCGACGGGGCATCGCGCAGCAGCGTGTCTTGGACCGGTGAGGCCTCACAAGGTGCAGAAGGCCTCACTTCACTGTAGATCAAACAAAGAGAAATAGCCTCGAAGGGCACATGAGAGTGCGCCCGTCCCGCGATGGGTGCCATGGCGCGTTGCACGTCCAGTAGTCGAAGGAGTGGGCAGAACTGGGATTGTTGTTGGGTGACAGGTCACTGCGTCTGTGCAGAACTCCCGGAATGATCCTGCGAGCAGCCGGGAGAGGCCACGACATGTCAAGGTGAAGCCGACTGCAGATGCCGGTGTAATCCTCGCACGACTCTGTCGTGCCCAAACCCTCGCCCCTTTTTATTTGTTGCGGCTCCGATAGCTTCGCTTGGGGTCTTTTGAAAGACGCCGAAGCTCGAGGAGTTGCAGGCAAGTCAGGCTACGTCGCTGTGTTGTTGGCTGTTGTCGGTGATGCTATGCTCCATGCAACTCCTCTTGGCCTGCGATGAGATTAACCATAACGGGCCGGAAGAACGCCTCCCCCGAAGAGTTGCACAGAGCTCTGCTCTTTTTGTCTGTTTGAGGCTTCAGCCGGCCCAAACCACCCCACCCTCGTGGAGCGCAGGAGCTCAAGGTTCGCAAGATCCGAACCCGGAGAGCAGAGCTCAGTCATTGGCAGTTTACATCAAAGGCTCGAAGCCTTCGGAGGACCTCCGACCTCCTCTGAGATCGGCGTTCTGCGTTACCTCGGCGCTGGTGAGGCGCGGAAGCAGAAGGCAATGAAGGCAGTGGGGAACATCCACAGGTCTCCGACTGCGTGCCATAGCCGTAGCCGCCACAGCCGCCACAGCCGCCACAGCCACAGCCAGGGCCAGCTCCCCAGGCCTTGGCAGAGCCGCCGCATGCAAGGACAAAAGACGCTTCACGAGCTCTGGCGACTGATCTATGTCAAGCACGTTATATACGGGCACTCTGCACCTGCTTCCGCGGCCGGTCCGAAACTCAAAGCAGCTACAACCAACGCGCGCTTGGGTCAGCGGCACTGCACTGGAAAGACACGGTAGTAACAAGGCCCGCGAGAGTTGCGCGAAGCCAGGCCGGGATTCCCCGCTTCGTGTTCAACAGCTTCCTGACTGGACTCGGCTATGCGGCGATGCCACGCCGAGACTGATAGAAGTTAGAAGCATGGTCTTCACTGAGACTTGGAGCTGGTTGGAGCCGACCCGCGCTGTGCTCGACGAAAGACGCGACCCGCGGCCCCTCTGAGTCTAAGCTGCGAGCACCCGCCTGCGTTGGCCTCAGCGCAGTCTACATCACATCTGTTCCGGCAGACTTTCGTCAAGACCCTCCCCCTGCTGCAGAGTCCCCTGCGGTGCCATCGTTTGTTGTGGGGCGCCCCACATTCCATTTCCCTGTCAGGCACGGCACAGGGCACCATCATCTTTCGTTGCATCGTGCAGCAGATCCCCTGCGGACAGTAGCGAAAAGCCGCTTCCAGCCCCTGTATCTACTGAAAAAGATGGCAACCGGGTAGAGGCGTTGCTCTTAAGAGAACAGCCCAGTGCCACCCGGTGCGTTCTGAGTCTCTGCCGAGCATTGTGTGTGGCAGGTCTGGCACTGAGAGCGCAGCCGCTGCTGGCCCTGGCCTAACAGCACAGGAGGAGAATAGGAGGGGGGGCCACCATGCCATGCATGGTTTTGGGTTCTCTCCGCACCCATGTAAGGCAAAGCACATCTGCGCGTAGCCGCTGGCCTGAGCGCAAGCTCTCTGCGAAGCTCACAACTTGTTGCAAGGTGTAGTGTGTGCGTGAGTTAGTGAGCGAGTCAGTGAGTGAGTGTGTGAGTGTGAGTATGAGTGTGAGTGTGAGTGTGAGCATGAGCGTGAGAGTGAGAGTGAGTTCATGGGTTAAGGGGATCACGCCCCTTTTCTTCTCTATATCGTTTTCATTTGTCGGAGGGGGGGTAGAGGAGGTGTAGGGGAGCTCCGTCCAACGAGACTCTCCCCTACCCCCAGGGAAACGTACCTGCATCGCCTGCGCCTGTGTCTTGAGGGGCAGCTGGCGGGGCACTCATCTTAACTCTCATCGTGGCTTGTTTTGCATGCCCTTCCTTTGGTCTGGCATTCATTGTACCAAAATATCATTTCATTTTCGTTTCCATCATCCACATCATCTTGCTTCATGTTGCAAATCATGAGTGCGCCTGAACTTTGAGAATGTGGATGTGTGTGTGTGTGCTTGTATGTATATGCATGCAGCATGCATGTCTCTGTGTGTGTGTGCTTGTATGTACATGCATGCATGTCTCTGTCTGTGTGTGTGTGTAAACTCAGTCTCGCGATGGGGGTGGCCCGTTGCATCGGCATCTGCAAGCACTAAGTCACTACGACGAAGAGTCGGTGATTCGCCGACAGGTGATCAACAGGGCGGTTCCTGCAAAAGGCGATATTCGATGAGTCCGCGGCCGCAGCGAGGCCGAAGTCGCTCCCGGAGGGCGCCGGCGCGGGCCCCGGCATCGGCCCGGGACCAGCCATCGGCGGAGGCATCCCTCCAAGGCCGAAGTCCCCAGCGGTGTGACCGAAAGCCTGGGAAGGAGGAGTGTTGACGAATGCCACACCTAAGGTTCCGCCCGAGACTCGGTGCCCGACCCCCATCCCAAAGTCGGCTGGGTTCCTGCCCACGTGCGCGTGCAGCAACAGAAGATGGGTGAGACTCAGCTGGTGCTCACCATTACCATGATACTACATGCAAGTATACCCTGGCTTCTTCGTAGTGCCTGCGCTACATGTTGCCCCTTGAGGCCCTGACATCTGGCCGCCGTAGCTGTAGCCCACGTAGGTTTGGGTGTAGGCACCGGGTCCCGGCGGTCCCGGGCACGGGCTGTAGCCTGAGACTCAGACCGGGCTTTTCTTTCATCGATGAAACCGACCGAGGCTGTTGCTGTTGACGGGCCTGGGCCCAGCAAAAGGGTTGTGAGATGTTGCCAGCCGTGCTCTGCTCTGAGCATCTGACTGTGGCATGGGGGGTGCGGCTCCATAGCCATTGCAAGCCTTCAAGCTCCCGACACTGAGGCCCTTTCCCGAAATGGATAACGACTGCGCGATGAGCGAACGGTCCCCGCTCTTGGCACGGGGCTGGGGGCGGCCGTGAGGGAGGCCGCGAGGCCGCAGGCCCTCGCGCGGCCCTCGGCCACAGAAGTCGCCGCTGCGCTGCTACGCGGCTCTCCCCAGGCTCAGGCTGCGGCGCTCCTTCCTCCAGCGCTTGCAAGGGAGCCTGCACCCACAGTGTCCAACCCCCTTGCAGCGCAAGGAGCACGAGGCCCCGGCCATCTTCACCACACTGGAGTTCAGCTTCGTGGCCGGCACCCAGCCTTTGGCTTTTCGCGGTGAGATGCGTCGGCTCTTTGGCTCCATGCCCTGCCTTTCTTGTCTTCCCCAAGCTTCAAAAAGACCTGAGAGCTTCAGAGCTGCCTAAGAAGCCCACGCCCGGACGAGGCCCGCACGTCGCCGTCTGAAAGAGTAACCTTCTCGGACACGATCACCCGTGCCCTCTTGCAAGGCTTCAAGCTGGACCGGGAAGCGAAGATGTCGGGACACGCGGGTCGCCTGTACTTCAGCTTCTTGTTGGCGTTCCGGGCTTGGGAGCGCGTGGGCGTGGTGCGCACTTGGGCGCCGTCCTCTGACGGAAAAGAAAGCTCTAAGAGAAAGCTGTCTTGCTTTCCTCAATTCTTACTGTCACGCAAAGCGCATCGCTTCGCTCCGCGAGGCCGACGCAGCGAAGTCGGTCCTTGTCGTTGCAGACGTAGATCCATTTGTGTCGCTCGCGCACGACGAGGTCGCACGCAACCTCCCAGTGCGCTTGCAGACTCATCCACTCTTTCCGAGAAGCCTCAGTTTCCCAGGACTTGGGACTCCTTGGAACTTCGGCTTGCCTGATGGTCCTTTGCCGCGATTCTCTGGCCCTCCGAATCTTGAAACCTCACCCCAGAAAATGCCTGGTGGCCTTCTTGGTCTTAGCTTGAGGTCCGGGGTCTGGGGGCTGCCTTGCCGGCGCTGTCGTCTCGCGAGACCCAGCAGCCGTCTATCAGCCTGCGTCACGTTGCACACGCGATTGTTGCGGAAGGAGGCTCAGCAGATTGGCGGTAGGCTTGACGACTAAGCATCAAAAAATACACCGGTCAGTGCTTCAGAAAGGCATCGGGGCCTGTAAAAGGCCAAGCCAACCGTACGAAGCTCCTCCACCGCCTCAGGGAGGGAGCTCAGTAGAGGCGCAGAGGCAAAAGATTCAACGTTGCCCCTCCGGCCCTCCTCGACGAAGTCGCCTGGGCTCAAGGTCTTCTTCGTCGCCCGCCTCCTCGCAGACGCCGACGCTGAGCCCAAAAAAAAACACCGAATCCCCGTTCCCCGCCTCGAAGGAGCTGAGAGCAAGGGCACCGGATTCTTGGAGACCACGGACACCCAACAGGGCCTTCGGAGTTCGGAGGCCGAACCGATGCCGATCCGTTGAATCGAATAGTCCAAGAAGCACCCTGTTAAAGGCACTCAGGTCACCACTTGCCATGGAACTTAGGCTCCGCAAAGCCACCGGCCTGGGAAAAGAAGGACGGAAATCACTCTCCGCCTCCGCCGGCCCCCACACGCCCCGGCCCGGCTCCTGAAAATCGCAGAGCACCGTTTCCCCAGCGCTGGGATCCTTGATGCCGCAATGCACCCTGGCGCCGGAAATGGCTCTGTAAGCAGATCTCATACTCCTGAGGAGTTGCTTGCGCTCCTGCTGCAGACGTCAGAGTATTACAGAAAACCGACCTCAGCTCGCCGAGCCAGCCCTCGATGCGGCGCTGATCTTCCACCTGAATCTTGCAAGCACAGCGCTCGCTTTCTCTCGCTCCGCTATGCTCCGGTTTGTCGGCCTTGTAGTAGCGCGCCCAGTTCTCCCCGAAAGGAGAGGGGACGAGAACCTGTACCTGCAAGGGCCAGGTTCCAACCACGAAGGAGGCTCCCGAGCGCACCGGAGCCCGCCCTGCCTTGCGGATCACCTCCACCACCGTGCCCGCCAGCCTCGTTTGGGAGTAGAGTCGGAGTTTGAGACTCTGAGATGCTAATTGGCGTTCCAACCCTTCTCGCACCACATAAGAAAGGAACCGTCGAGCTGTCAGGTGGCTACTTCGAGTGGGACTTCTGGGCTCCTGTCAGCTCGGGAGCCCCGGTGACGGCGCCGAAGGCAAAGGGCGCCGGCAGGATCTTCACCTCTCCGAAAACCGGAGAAAAGAAAAGCCTCCAATGCCTTCTCCAGGAGTCTACGGCGAGGCTCCCACAATGAAGAGGCCAAATTTTCTATAGGCAACTAGATAGAAGGGTAGAAGTCTGTGTGCGCGCGTGGGCGGTGCATGTGGGCAGAGACGAGAATGGACAGATGCCTGGCCCTTGGCCTACAGCGCAGCCACCCGTCGCGCTCTTCGAGGCCCCGGCCGGATTTTGCAGTCGAGGATCCAGCATCATCTTGGTGCCCTGTGCTGAGCCAGCGTTCGTTCAGGTTTCAATCCTGCTCAGGCTTCCATGCTTCTTGCGCTTTCTCCTTTGCTTGACCTTTGGGGGAAGGGAAAGACAAGGGCAAGATGGACCCTAGGCCCTAAGCAACAGTATCCTCAATAAGACTCCCACGAAGCCCGGACACTCTGGCGGCCTTGGCCACCTTGCCCTCGTCGCTGACTTCAGACAACTGCCTAGGTGTGAGAGGGAGTGGGGTTGTTTAGGGGCCGTTTCGGGCCCTTTATATCTTAGATTACCCTCGTTTGCGCTTTCTCTGTCGAGGTGGGCCATGCTGCCATGTCCACGCTGCCAACCCAGTGCATCCATGCCCAAACCGTGCGGCCGTGCTCATCCTTTGGCCCGTGCATGCATGCCCAAACCATTATCAACTATTTTCCGCGCAGAAACATTGGATTTTTGCGTTTTGGGCTGCACATATCACCATAGCAGTTACGCCATATCGAACAATGCTAACTAACATGCGAAAGTATCGGCCCTTGCCATGGTCTTTCAACAGTGCTCGAAGCCGGGGTGAAAGAACACATTGTGCAGAACATGGCCTTAAGCCTCCGTCCACACATCATGATAACGTTTACGCCATGTTGAGCCATTGCTAACATGCGAAAGTCTCGGCCCTGCCATGCTTTTCACACTTCGTTCGAAGACAAACTGGGCAAACGCCCTTGATCCACCCCTTTGTATAGGCTGAAGGCAGGGATGTGTCAGGTACACTCACGAGGGTGCAAGAGAGCCCGCGAGCACGCCGCAGGCTGGTGCGACGGCAGACGAGCACGAGCACATCCAGTAACTGAGCTCGAGACTGCACGGGCGGGCCCTTTGCGTTCGCCATTCTGCGGAGCAAAAGGGGGTTGTTTTTTTTTTCGGGGGGCAAGGGGGGCAAGAGACGCTTGGAGGCCTCTCCGACTTCTCCAAGACCCAGCCCCGGCCATCCATCAAGCAAAGCCTGAGAACTGCGTAAAGACTCGAAGCTGGTCAGAAGAGAAGAGGGGACGCGGCGCGGCCCGCGCCCTCCGTGCCCTCCGTGCCCGGGGTCGGCGCCAGAGCCGTTGGCCCAGCAGCCCGCGCTCGCAGATCCTCGCGGGAGCGGCGCGAGGCTCCGGTCTCTCTCTCCGAGAAGGCGTCGCACACACTAAGGGAGAGAGAGAGAGAGAGAGAGAGAGAGAGAGAGAGAGAGAGAGAGAGAGAGAGAGCCCCCCCTCTTTTGGGGGAGAGAGACGCGCCTTGTCTTATGTGGTCCGATGGTCTCAAGAAGCAGTTTCAGGGCCCCCCACTCCTGACCAGCTCGCCCGGCTGCACTGCCTGGTGCGCAGGTATCAATCAATCAACACCTACCGACCTACCTACCTACCTGCCTACCTGCCTACCTACGTACCTATCTACCAATCTATCTATCTACCTATCTATCTTCACACTTCATTATGGAGTGAACGCTTTGCCGGTGCTCTGCTGACCTTCCTACCTCCACAGAAGCAAACCCAATGAGGCTCCTGCGCCGGCTTGCATGCAGTTCTTACGCAAGGCTTCGCCATCTTTTACCAAGTGACCCGCAATCCGAGGCAGTCCGACCACGTCCTTTAACGAATTCCATTCGCAGTGACACTGTAACCGCGAGTCTCGCAGTGCTGAAGCTGCCTGGCATCTAACTCTGGAAGCCAACAGTGAAAGGGATGCTGCGATTCTCTTTGCATGCACTCGGGCCGAGACTCGAAAGGTGGTCGAACTGGGCCGCAGAGCTCTAGAGACTATCTTGAGAGATGCAAAACTGATTTGAAGGGGTGGCGAGACCGACAAGGACAAGCGCAAACGATTCAAAGCTGATGCGTCTATGCCGAACAGGGGCTTAGGCTCGCCACCACAGAGCGCGCTGCTTGGCAGCGGGCCATTCTTTCGCGTTAGACTTTCAGGGGACCGCAGAGGCTTCCGAAAGAAAGCTCCCTCCTGCGCTGGAAGGGGCAAGTCCTTTAAGTGGGGCCCCTGGTTTGCCCCGCTGCCGGTCCCGTGAACAAAGGTGGAAATTCACTGTGACCAGACCTCGGAGGGTCTGGCGAGGAAAAGGGGGTGCGGGCATCACCTTCAGCGAGCCACTTCAGGCACTGAAAGCAGATCTCCGTACTGACGTGGCAGCACCGTGCAAGCTTAGCCACAAAGGGCATTAAAGTGCTGCCGAAGGGAAGCCCTTTCGGAGATTTTCGGAGATTATCTTAGACTCTTTCTCTCGCGTCTCTACCTCTCTCTCTCTCGTTCCGGGCTCGCCCCTGAGCTCGTTTTAAATCGACCACAGAGCCACACGTCTCCGTCATTTCTGGGTGTTCAACGGCCCGACGATTGTGGCTATTCTGTTTGAAGAGGGGGGACTTAGAAGAGAACACCTTGCTTCATCGCATGCACCTGGCCTTTGGCCAATGCAGAGAACACTGGCCCGGAGGTACACGGGTATGTGGACATTCCACATCCAGGGAGGCACCCGGCCGTTTTTCCCGACTTCTGCATGGCTACTGGGATTCTTATTTACTATTCAGGGGTCAAGGGTATAACTGTTGTACAGTCTGGTCAACAGATATGTTGGAAGGCCGCTGCCCGTGCGGTGCCTTCCCGCTTGCAAGCTTTTCACGGAATGGCAGCAGTGCCGCCTGTGCCCGGAGCAAGCCCCAGCATGCTGAAAGCGTTGAGTTCAAGCGCGGCTGAAGAGTCGAACCACAGAAATCTATCTAAGAGGTCTTGGGCTGTGGACATGCTCCGTAAGTGCAGAATTAATCCAAGGCTTCCTTCGATATCCGCTGTCTGAAGGAAGCCCTGGAGCCTGCGGTATTTCAGTGAGACAGGGAGAGGTCTCCGCTCTGTCATTCCTTGCTGCCGGCCCGTGTGGCCTCGGCCCGAACCAAGCATCTGTATCTACTTTCGCAGTAGATGGCAAGGCGAGCTGGTAGATACGTAGATGAATAGATGAGTAGATTCAGAAGACAGAGAGATCTTGGCATACTGAGACACTAGGACCGACTAGGACATGACAACAAACAGGCGAAATTTGAGGATCAAAGAGGCAGAGGACGCCGCACCCAACTCCGGGGCGCCGGCCTCGTCGTGGGAGGTTTTGGAGCTCCTTCAAAGCAAGGCTGAGGGGCTTGGGGGCTTAGGGGCTTAGGGGCTTAGAGGCTTAGGGCCGTTTAGGGCTTGGGTTTTTTGGGTTCAAGGCTTACCTAGAAACTTCAAGAACCTATACCCAGTCACAGTTTCGACTGATCAAGGCTGTGCCCCTGATAAAGGAAAGGGCCCCACGCAGCTCCATGCTTAGCCACAGCACCGAGGGCCCAAACCAACTAGCGCAACTTGCTGCGTGACTCCATGACCGTGTGAACGGCGCAAACACACACGGAATGCATGCCGGAGAACTGGCGAGAAGACAAGCACAGGACGCAGCCAAGAGCAGTACATGCAGGCAGGCTTTCGCAAGGGATATCCTACCCTAAACCCTGCATGCCCCAAACTCTGAACCCTTCGAAGTTTTGGGATTCAGGCACCCCGTAGCGGGGGTCCTGGCGAGGATCTCTTCTCGGCCATCCTTGCTGCCGGGGGTCGTCATCCGACCCCATGCCTCGAAGGCGTTCTCGAAGGGCTGGGCTCTTAAGGACCCTATGCCTATAACCCTATAGCCCTTGCTAAAGTGACCATCGGGAGTGCGTTCCTGAAGAAGAGCCCGGTAAAGACCAACTCCGGGTTCCCCGCGCTGTTTCTCTGGCCTTCCAGCTCCATCCTGGCGGCTCCGGGGCGGATCGGAGCGCGGATCGGAGCGCTTGGGGCGCCATGAGTGCTGAGACTTTTTCTCTCGTTCCCGGGCCTGTTCCAGGCAGTGCTGTTCTTGCTGACCGTCCTGGCACGCATGGCAACTCGGCGTCACTAAACTTCAGAGACAAGGAGAAACATACAGTACCTTACAAGCTCTGCGGGTTTACGTGGATCCACTCCGTCCGAATATCAAACAGTGTAGACAGGCAGAACCCATGGCGACCTTCGAACGTCAAGTCTGAAGCTTCTCTGAATTCACTGCATGCCAGCAGGGCCGCACGAGCTTCCGGATGGGCAGCGCAGTGCCACGAGACTCGGATGGAGCTCGCTGGACTGGAAGGCAGAAATGAAAGTCCGAGGCGTGGGCCTGATACTTGCGCTGGGTCCACAGCACCTCACCACAGCGGGGAGTCCAAAACAGGCCCGAAAATAGCCGCGGGGAGAGCCCACAGCCTGCATGATGTCGTTCATGGCGACCACGTCCAGCCACTCGTCTGCCTCATGGCAGTGGCAGCCAAGGGGCCATCGAGGCGAAAGAGGCGGACACGGCGGACACTCCAAGCTTCCGAGCCTCCACCTCGTCGTCGGAGTAGACGACCTCAACGTTGGTCTCGGTCGGCTCCTCAGAGCGGAGTTCACTCCCGTGGACTCAATACCGGTACTTGCGAACTGGTGCCGCCTCCTCGCACGGCTTGCGACGGTGGAAGACCCGGTCGCCAAAAAACTTGAGGAGGAAGGCCTGAAGAAACAGATCTCACCAAGCCCCGATGCAGTCTTCTGCAGGTCGAAGCCCAAAAGCATCCGTCGTGGAATCAGGAAGAAGCTTTTGGACGTTCTGGGACCCCGTCCACCAACGCCGAGGCCACGGACAACAGTGCGCCCATCTTCGCCTTGCGCTTCGCACCCCAGCCCCAGTCTGCGGATCGAGAAACCTTGCATCACTTCCCCAGTGAGACTCTGATTTTCTAGCTGGACTTGTGTGTCCGAAGGGAAGCAGCCACGCTCGGAGCTGCCTGACTCTGGAGGCCCTTGTCGGTGAAGGCCTCGCCACAGGGCACGACACGCTCCATGGCATGATGGCCCCCTACAAAGCTCCGCGTAGTCAAGTAGTACCGGCCCGCCGCGTCGGGCCTCGTTGGAGACGAAGAGTGCGACGGTGAGCCCGACCTGACCGAAGAGAGGCGCTCGCGCTGGCTGCGAACTCGGCGCTGTGCTCTGAGCCAGCGGCCCCGCCGAGCGCCGACATCGCAAAGAGGTCCACCACCGTCAAGCCTATACAGTAGGGGAACTCCCCGCAGCGCCGCACAGAAAATACTCGCACTCCCCAGCGCCGGCACCCCGCGCCTACGGGGAGTAGGAAGCCCATGCAATGGGCGGAGAGGGAGAAGAAGACGATGCCGAGGGTCTTCCCGGCCTCAGGCAATCCGCGGGCTCCCTTTCTTTTGCAGCGGCAGCTCGCTGGGACGTGGACGATGAGGGCGATGACCGTGGCCCAGGTCAGCGAACCGAGGCCTCCGACTTTGACCTCAGACACCCCAGAAAGGAGCTGCAGAAGACCGCGGGCAAACAATGAAGCGGTTGCTGCCTCTCCGAGGCGCAGGCCCCGGCATTGGCCAGGCCGAAGAAGAACATTCCGAAATCCTAAGTGAGGCTCGCAGGCATCTTTTGCGCTCCATCGGAGGGCCCAGGTTACTGGGGCCCTATCTACGAAGAGCTTCATGTGGTGCTCGAAAGCGTGTAGTGGAGCACCTTTGTCCACAAACACATCGGCGACGGGAAAAGACAGGAAAAAAAATTGCCTGCAAGAGCTCCAAGGTCCCAGCTCTGTCGGGCCATGAATTCTTGTGCTGCTCGTATCAGCATTTCTCGGAGCAGTGATTGGGAGGCTTTGGCAGAGTTTGTCATGGGTTTGCCAGGGCCCTGCGGCTTTTGACAACAGGCTTTTTGTAGGTGCATAGAGTTGAACTGGCCAGTCCCGTGGCTCTAATGGAACAGGACGCTGGCTCATCGCATAACATAAGCGTTCTCTGCTGAGAACTGGACCGCTCTTATTGTGTGGAATGAGGTCGCGCACCTTGGCCACCTTCAAGACTGAAGGGCAACCCGAAGAAGCGGGTGACCGGTCCGATGAACTCTCAAAGACTAATCCCACGTCAAACGAATGCCGACCTGGCTCTTTGCGTGGCTCACGTGGTCATCCCCTCCGCCATGGGCATGGTGTGCCGGCATAAAGGGCACCTTGTCTCGGGCATACTGCGATGCACCTCCCACATAACCCCATGTGGAACTGACATCGTCTGCCATCGCAATCGGCGGCAAAAGGAGAGATGAAGAGCAGATTGGACCTAAGTTTAAGGTCCGAGCGATGAAGACTAGCGCGAGGGCAGGATGCACCTGTGATGAGCACTGCTTGCGGCGAGGGCAAGCGGCCAAAAGTTGCGACTAGCCTGCGCCAGGATCAAGCCCAACCAGGCAATGGGCCCGGCGATGAAGACGTAGGCGGACCAGAAGCGCACCTTTGCCTGGCGATGTTTGGAGGCAAAGCCGTCTTCGCGCCCTCCTTGAAGCTTGGGCGGAGGCCATTCGCAGAAAGCATGCGACAACTGCCCCGACCACCACCAGCAGTAGCCTGGTACAGCACACAGAAGGGCTAGACGGCTAGAGCGCAGTGTGAGGAGCTGAGATCCGCGCCACACCGGCTCCACCGGGTGTGCTGGGTTGGGGTACGCGATGGCGATGATAGCCTACTGAACAAAGGTAAGAAAAGGGGGTTCCGACCGGAAGCTTCGCCTTTCCGAGCCCCCGGCCATGCCGAGCGCATCGTCCGCGATCGCGAGGAGCAAGAGATAATTAATTGCAGGGTGGCCGGCACCGAAGATCAAGATTGCGAACCTCGGAACTATACGCAAGCACCATGTGATGCAAGGACAGAGACTTGCAAAGCAAGGCAAGCCAATTGAAAGCTACAGTCCTGTGACAAGGAACATCCAGGCCAGGGAGATATCCGTGGCCGTGGGAACTCCCCAGCCTCAGGCACTCGGCCCCGCGAGGACCCAAAGGCGGGCGAGGCAGACCGGTCTGCGCCCTGAGAACCGCACCATTGATGATGTCTGCGAGAGTACAGTCTACGGTGACCATTGGCACCTGCAGGAGGTAGCCGTGGCCATTGCACTCAGTCTTCCACTGTTGACAGTTACCCTGTCGCTCCTCTGCATCGCCGGAGCCCGCAAGGAGCCGGTGCGAGGCGTCTGGCAGAGCTATGCCCGGAGCAAAGTTCTTTTTGCTTTTCTTCTTTGGTGGGTCCGAGGCCTGCAACCTCACTGGCAGGATGCTGGCACTGCATGCCGTTGAAGGAGCCAAAGCTATCGAAGATGAGAACGGCGACCACCTGAGAGCAGTGAACGTGAGCATGGTCCCCCGGCGCCTGCCCCAAAGTCGCGTGATTACTTCTGTCTTTCTTGGGTTCCGGCGTAGGTGGCTACCGGGCCCAAGACGCCACCGAGGGTGGCCATCAATGGGTTCGTCGCCCGCCGAAGCGGGCTCAAGGAGCCGCCCGGTAGAAGTGCCTGAGAAGTGGGCACACCCACCACCACAGGCTCACTCATGCGACGCTCTGCTGCGCTCTGCTCGGCCTCCGTCACTTCTTTGATGGCCAGGCCAAAGAAGAAGCACATGAAAATGTCGTTGATCAGGAAGTGCAAACTCGCCTTGCCAGTGCGCGACTAGTAGCTCAGTAGCAACCTCTTGCTCAGGGATACAAGGACGGAACGTCGTGACCGAGAATTTGCCATCCCGGGATGATTGGATCATGCGTCACCTCATGCAAAAGCCCTATAAACTCCAGACAAACGAGCTCTCTCTCATGCCCTCTCCCTTCAGAAATGCAAAGAGCTCGGGCCGTAGCCGTCCAGTACGAGTCCTCGGCCGTGTTCTTCCAGACCATGGCAACGATCACGCCAGTGACGAGCGGCAGCGCATACTTCCTCAGGGCTTTGCACAGGCCGGCAGGTAAGAGAAACATAGTTCGCTCGAAAGACGCGGGTCTCGACAAACAGGCTTTACAAGGAAAGAAAGCGTGTGGGAGAAAAGGGTGACTATCGGAGCTGCGGCCAGGTGGCTGCAGCACACCGACGGCCCGCCAGACGTGCTTTTGCAGCGACGGCAGCTCTTCTGTGTCGTCGCCCGGACCGTGCTTGTGCATGTGGTCGAAGCCCACATCGCTCTTTACCTGGGAGCGGTCGCGTACGAGGCCCTTTGAAGACCTTACAGCTCTGAGGCTCAAGCACTGGTGATGACGTTTCCAGCCTTGCGACATCGGAGGTGCAGTGGTCGTAACTTGTGAGCAGAGGCCTGCGACGACTCCCAATATTACATTCTAAAATGCCCCCCTAATAGACTGGAAACGAGTTTTCTGGACCCGTCTGGTCCAGAAGCCCACCAAAGATCGACTGGGCCATGAGTAGAGCTGGTTGGCACTATTCACCATTAGGTCATTTTTCGTCCTGGAAGTCTTTTTGGCACATAAGACGGTTGCTTCTACAAGGGGATCATCTTGTGGTTTTGGTGAAGGAGTGCATCATGTCGGGACGAGAGCAGCAAGGCTTAGGATGAGGGCAGGACGGCAGAAAGGGTCCGAAAGGCTACCGTAGCTTTGGGCTGGCTGAAGAGAGAGACCAGATGAGGCTGTCGATTGCCAAGCTTCATAAGAACCGCAAAGTCGCAAGCGAAAGGGCGCGCCTCGTCCATGGAGGGCCGTCGCTTCATCCGCACCGACTTCGGTGACTGCGGCACCGCGCCCTGTTCACGAAAGAGACTGCTGCTGCGCACCCCCCCCCCCTCGCTTTTCTCCGCTCGCTCCGCTTGCGGGCCTTCGGAGAGAGCAGGACGTCATCTTCGAAGTTCCGCCGAGAGTGCACGTGTGCGTGGGGCAACCTGGGACACGGAGACACACGAAGCGGCCGCAGCTCAAGAAGCTCCGCTCACGCGCAGGCCAGGCCCCTGGCAGCACGATCTCCCCCAGCCTGCTATCGAAGGCCGCCACGAAGGCGGCGGCGTCCTTTGCCCGGGCCATCTTGAGGATCAAGTCCTGGCAAGCCACGCAAAAGGCCCCTCCGCCTCCCTCTCTCCAGTCTCACCCTCTCGGCTCTCCTCGTCGACTGCAAGGGCCGCTAAGCTCTCGCTGAGCTCCGTCAGGTCATTCTCCCGGTCACTGGCGCGCGCTTGGCTCGGCGAACAGCGGTTCAAAACAGATTTTCGGACGACCGTCTCTACAGAAAGACGTGGCCTTCAATTCGAAGTGAGACAGGGAATTACCTCCGAACCGCCCTGGCCCCGCCAAAGCCTGTGGCACGCCAGCACAATCAAGAATCTCACCTCAGCAAGAGTATAAACTCCGACTAAACGGCACTTGCCCGCGTAATGTGGCACCCGCAAAGGTTGAGGTGGCGGGGATCAAGCACGGCGGCCACTGCCCCGAGCGGAACCACTTAAAGCGCAGATGTACAATGCTTTGTTGAAACCCTTGGAAATCCTTCCCTGAGCGGTCAGAAAGTTTTCCACAAAGTGTAAAGAAATCGCGGGCGTCAGGATCGTCTCTGGAATCCTCACTGGGGTCCGTACAGGGGTGTTTGCCGCGAAGTTCATGGGCAAGGCCACCTGAAGAGCCGATCGCCGCGATGCAGCAAGTGCTTCGCTGTCGGCTGTGTACTCCCTTCGGAATTTTGCTACGACACCGCCTTCAAGCGGACAAAGGCCGCACAAATACTGCTGCTTGCAGGTATCTGGTCGTCCAAAAGCGTCAGCACCTCTGCAAAGCAACGCTCTGAGCGCGAGCTTCGCTGATTGCGCTTCAATTGCACTTTGAGGACATGGCCAAGCACGCTTCGTCGCCCTGCGCGGGATCCACCTAGGGGCTCCAAGGCTCGGACGCTGGGACGCTGAGCTCTGGCGGCTGAGCTCTCCACAAGCTCGCTGCTCACCTGCGCATCTTTGCGATCGCACCGAGCAGTCGGGCGCAGTCGCGCTTCAGGCCGGCCTGCGAGTCCTTCTGCACTCCGTCCCTGGCCCGGGTCAGCAGGGCCTTGGTGACCTGCATGCGGATTCCGCAGCTCTAACTAGCTCTCGCTCTCTCTCTTTTGCCGTTCTGGGGCCTGCCCAGCTGCGGCTTCCGGCAAGCCCGACATGGTGAGCCGCTCGAGCACGGCATCAATGGCAGTGCCTGGCATGTCACGAACCTCCAATATCGCTCCCACCCTGCACGCCCCTGCCGAGGCCAAAGATTGCTTGCTTCTGTGATGTTGCAAGCGCATCTTAACTCCCCGTCCCTGCTTGAATGCCTTGGCACCTTTCGTTGCGGATATCTCCGTGGCAAGGCAACACGATTTGATTCGTTCGGCTTCGAGCGACGACATGGCCTGGATTGCTTGCAATCACATCGATCGCCACAGAGTCTTGTACGACGCACCTGCACCGTGGCTGTGGCATCTTGGGCCCAAAACTATAACCACAAGCAGTCACAAGCACCAACACTGCCACTACTACTGCGCACTGCGGCCAATCTATTTCTTCTTCTACTGCTAATGCTGCTACTACTACCTGCTGCTGCTACTGCTACTACTGCTACTACTGCTACTGCTGCTTGCAAAAAATACTACTACTAACACGACTTCCAACACTACTCCCCCTCCTCCTGGTGCTCCTGCTGCTGCTGCTCCTGCTGCTGCTGCTGCTGCTATTGCTACTACTGCTACTGCTACTGCTACTCTGCTAATGCTACTGCTACTGCTACTCTGCTAATGCTACTGCTACTTCTACTGCGACCGCTGCTACTGCTTCTGCTATTGCTCTTACTACCAGCGTTCTTACCGCTGTTACCACGAGCGGTAACGTGGTTCCCTGGGCCTCTTTACCAGCTGCAAGCCATGGCAACTCACCTTCGGCAAGTGGGGCGTATCCGCCTCGAGACAAGTGCAGAAGATTCAAGTATCTGGTTGAATAGGCCGGCGACTAAGGAATAAATGAAAATATATCTATCTGTGTTTTTGTGTATGTACATGTACATATATAAAAAAATAGATATGTATGTATTTCTATGCTCGTATATAGTACAGATGCTGCAGGTATGCATTATGTATGTGCACGACGACTATGATGTGCAGTGTGCATGTACGTGTGTGTGTGTGCGTGTGTGTCTAAAGATACATATCTACCTACCTATCTATCTATCTATATAGATTTTGATATATACATATATATGCTACCCCCCCCACCGTGACCTACCGATTTCGTGTGTTCTTGCTTGAGCAGACGGAGAAGCAAGAGTGAATGGAACTTGGAAAAGCATAGATGCATGCACAACGCTGCAGTTTCAGAGCAGGTGTTGCCAGATTTTTTGGTGTGGTTGATGCAGCTCCCCTCTTTCAGTATACAAAAATGAGCTGCCGGGATCTCTGGAAAGCAGATACGAGATGTGATGATACCAAGAAGGCTGTGCGAGTATAGACGAGTGTAGACTCAGACAGTATTTGACAGAACAATCGGCTACTTGATTGCCAAGAGATCCTTCATGTACCAGGCCACCAGCTCCCCTGTACAAAGCCACAGATCGTCCTTCCTGTGCCAGTACTCATACTGTGCACTTCAGATCTGGGCACCAAGCATGGTAGACCCAGTCTTTGCAGCATGGTTTCGGCGCAAGCGATCCTTTATGAACCGCCACGCGCGGTCTACGATCTGCATGCCG